AGAGAGAGAGAGAGAGAGAGAGAGAGAGAGAGAGAGAGAGAGAGAGAGAATCCGAGGGAGGAGATGGATGTTTGTGTGATGCTGATGGTGGAATGCTTCAGACTCAAGCTGAAGATGGGACAATACATTCATCATAGGTTACCGTTTACGTCTTAACCTGAAATGAATCGCTCTTTATCTCTGTTGGGGGAAGTTGTATGGCTTTGTTCTCTGAACCTTCTTGGACCCTCTGAACTGTTGTTTTCACTTTGAGTGGGCACATCCAACTCATTTTAATTTATAACCTGCATGGATGAAACTGGATGAGGTGTGTCTCATTGTGTGCTCTGGTGTTATGGTGCATCAGGGGTTTGTGTTTAACCCCTGCTGTGGGTTAAACACAAAACAGTCTGTCTTTGTATTGACTTCTTAGAACGGTTTTCTCACTGTTTTTCCTTTTGCATTGCCAGATTCTCTCCCTGCATTCACTGATGGAGGTGATGGTGTGAAAAGAGCAGCTCCTGGGCCGATCTGCTTTGTTCTGAAATGATAAGTAGGTTACAGGGTGACGAGGGCACAACCACCAACTGAATATTTATGGGCCCTCCTGCCTCAATGCTGTCCAACAAATGTTTTGATGTCTTTTTATAGCACTGAGTCCTCCTGCCACCATCACACACACTTACACACACACATACAGAATCTGGAGCACTTCAATGTGATAAGCAACCCACGTCAGTGTGTGCGTAAAGCTACAAACTAAAGCACACTGTCTAACACACACGTTTGAATGAATGAGAAATGAAATATCTGAGCAAATGACAGTGGAGTTTTCTTGTTGAATGGCTTTCAAACGAACATCAGAATTCTTTCTGAGTGAGAGAACTAAACAGAAAAATACATGAATTTCTTGAGACACATCACTTTAAAAGTTCCCAGAAACTCGTGCTGGTGAGTGTGAGGAAAAATGAGATGGACTGAAGGGAGACGAGGGTAACAAAAAGGCAGACATCTGATTTTCAGTTGGTTTTATAATCATGGGCTAATTGCCTTTCAGCAAAGGTAGCACTTAGATGTCCTTTTATTTATGTAATAATTCCCCTGCAGGGGACAGGATGGAGTGACGGAGAGAAAAGAAATGGCAGAATGAATGGAAAGGACAGACAAAGAGAGGTGGGAGGAGGCAGGAAATGACAGGACAGATAGGATGGAGAAGGATCACATTCATCAGGCTGTCTGTGTGTATCAGCAACAAATATGCTGCTGTTCTTAAGAGGACAAAAGGCTCTCATGTTGATGAACAGAGTAGTGGTTCTCAGAAACAATAAAAATATTAGATTGTTAGGTATAAAAAAACACTGAGGGAGATGATGAGGACATTCAGACTGAGAAAGAAAAATGCATGCAATGTGTCTGACGAAGAGAGCTACTGAATAGAGGGGAAAAATGAAGGGTGTGGAATAATGACACGCTCGTGTCACTACGCCTTGACAAAAGCACAACCTCGCTTCACCAGCATCGCCCGGCTTTTAGTGTCAACCAAAAAGGACAGTGACGTAAATCTAAGCTGTAACCTCCGGCTGCTGCAGGAGCAAACATGCAGGAGATGCAACGGGACATTTGACGCTTCTAACCGACTCAAACTGTGCTCTTCCTCAAAGAACGGTGGTTGCAAAAATGGGAAGCCAATTTACAGTTTGAGCGGCACGAAAGAGGCTTTACAACTGATGATGACGATGATGATGCAGTTTGAGAGGTCAAAGGTGATGTATGAAAGGCACAGCTTCAATGGTTCCCCGAGTTTTTTTACTGACTTTTTTAATTGTCCTAACAATATGTCCTTGTCTTCTATAGTTTGAAATTCCAAAGCTAGCTAATGACACACTCACAATCCCACTGTAAGCGTTTCAGACACACAGACCACAGGGACTTACTTATCCTTTAATAAACCAGGCAAATTCCACTGAGATCACTGATCTCTTTTTCAAGGGAATACCTGGAGAAAACCCATGCAAACATGAGGAGAAGATGCAAACTCCACACAGCAAGACCCCAGGCCCAACCCGGGCTTGATACCAGGACCTTCTTGTCGTGAGGCTAACCACTAAGCCGTTGTCCAGCTGGGCTGCGGGGTCCTGATGGTCACCAATGAAACATTTGAGAAATAGAACAGACAAAGCACTTGTTAGGTACAGGCTGCATGACCAACTTGCTCAAGGGGTGAGAAGAATTGTACCGTCTACCTGTGGAACACTGATGCGATGTATAATTAACAAATTTTGTGTCAGTAGTACATAACAAGATACCCACGGTGTGTTTGCAGCATCTCGTCTCTCTTTCACCCGATGCACATTGTGTTTATTTACTGTAAAATGTATCAATTTGAATGTAAGAAAACATCATGCAGGATGAAGGGTTCAAAAGTAAAGCCTTACTGCACCTCCTGTCAGCCTGAAAACAGCAGAGAGTAAGGAGGTGGAAAGATTGTATAGAGATGCTTGCGTGTCAAACAAGTGTGAAGTACTTTTGAGGCTACTGCATTGTACAATTACTATGCTGTATACTATTGCAAGGACTGTGCTCTGATTGGTCCTAACTTGGTTCAAGTGCACACAACAAGAACAGGTTCTTGATTTTTCACCACTTGACTTGTAAAATTTGCAGGATCAAAAGTCTCCACAGCCAGTCTGGGACTTTATCCAGTGTTAACAAGCTTGAGTGACATCAAGTCTCATAATGTTGTCCCTGTACTCTGCCTGTAGGAGCACTTATGGTGGGTTGAGAGTGAACCGTAATTTAGTCACAATATCCCTGTTTGCTTTCAGCTTTTGTTTTTATCAACCTTTTCTTTAAATCTCCAGCCCATTGTGACAAGTTCAGCTACCCCACACACAGGTTTAAAGGGAATAGATGCATCAGAGGGATTTTGGAATGGATATATACGGTGCAAGCTTTAGAAGCTTGTTGACATCTTACAGTTCACAATCAAACATAGTTTCACAAAATGTCAAATACAAACTTGCTTGTTTAAGTTTTTTTTCTTTTTTAAAAACAAAAAGCATATACCATAGAAGTGGGGACTGAGTCTGTGCTTGAATTACTTGTAGAAAAAACGGCATACCAGATGTTATCTCACACTGAATCTGAGACACTTTCACATACGGAGAAAGGGGATATACTGTGTGTATGTGGGTGGAATCCATCCATGCTCTGTTCCAATGGGATTTTCCTGAGTTGTATGAATGACGGTTCCCTCAGAGAGCACACTAACAACACTCCTGATGTCACCATGGAGATGGTAGATTATAACACAGAACCATGCCCTTGTTTTAAGAATCATACAAAGGGAAAGTACAGAATAAAAGGCAAAGCTTTTAAAAAGTCAATATGAAACAAAACAATCCAAAGGTTTTAAATAAAAGAAAAGAAGGAGAATTCCTCATGAGGACCATTATAAATGGGGAAGAAAAACACATCACAGTATCCTCTTTTGATTAAAAACAAAAAACAAAAACAGAATTTTTTTGTTCACATTTGTAGTATTTTTTCCCAGTAGACTATATCACACAGTGATAACAAAGAACAGGATAAATCTACAGCCACGTTAGCTTCGTGCAAAAAACCACATACACTGGCACGCCGCAAAGGCAAAGAGATCAAACAAGACGATGCATACAAAAATATAGAAAAATCTCCAATGAAACGTATCTCTTGACAGGAAAAATCGCTTCCTCTCCCTAAACATTCATCACAGAAGTGGCATTTCCAGTGCATTCTTTTTGTGTTTCTCATCATTTCTGTTGATGCTTTTGTGTGTTCTTCTGGTTTTTAAGACATCCAAAGTCCTGGTGTCGTCCATGCAGGAATCCATAGAATGCCAGGAAAAGTCCAGTTCACCATGATGTTGGGTCAAAATGCTGATCAGAATATTGTGAACATGTTTGACTGATAGAAAACTAGTTGAATAAAAGCATATCATTTCTGTTATATCAGTGGTGACAAATCTTTTCTTTACTTTAAGATAAATACGTACCATTTCCCGTCACTTTAAAGACATTCCAGCATTCGCTCATAATTGGTAGTGACAGGATTAAATAGTTTGGCATAATCTGCAAGCCATGCCAAAAATGATGCTTTTCAGTCTCTTGCAAAGGAAAGGAGAGGGGAGCGGAGGCAGAGAGCAGGTGCAAGGATGCAGTGTCTCTGATGGAAGAAGGGGTTGGGGGTGGACTGGGGTGATACAGCACAGCTGAGAATACAGATCGTGCTTGAGACCAGGTCAGTCCATTGATTTCAGCACTTGCAAAACACATGCAGATTTACTGTAGCCATAGTTCTGGACTCTCAGTCATTCTGTTTGCTGAGCAGGTGGGAACAGAGCCGGAAACCATGGGCATCTTACCCATGAGTCAGAGGTTGGACTGCTGAGCCAAATCCAACACTCTCTGTTTTCACACTGATGGAAAAGATTGTTTGAACGCCTTCAAAGCAGAAAGAGTCAATCAGTGGGAGGACAGGGACAGAGCACTTACGGGATGGAAAAAAGAGCTGAAAGGATGCAAGTAAGGCAAAGACAGATGACTTGTACATCAGTCAGATGGGGGGGACATCACAAGACCAGCTTTAAACTGTTCAGATACCATGCAGAATGAGAGAGAGAGTGTGTTAGTTGCTGAAACAAAATAAATTCCCCGCTCCAAGTGGTTGTAGTGCTTCAATACTAAGGAGAGAATCCAGGAGTCATTGGTTGTTAGGCTGCCCTGCTCTCTCTTCCAGCTCCTCCTCTTCATCTTCCTCATCCAGGGAAACCACCCCTGAAGAGGCCACATCGGACACCCTCCTGTGGGAATTGTAGTCAGGTGGGTACTCCACCCCATTGCCCTCTGTCTCCTCCTGACACACGGTGTTCTCATAGTCTTTGCAGGGGGTGTCGTCATCCTCTCCAGGTGACAGGTATGTCTCAGAGTAAGATGTGGAGTAGCAGGGAGAGTCCTGACCCCCAAAGCGCCTGATGCTCTGACCTCCCCCACCCAGGCTGTGGAAGCCACAGTCCACCCCACCATGCACACTCTGCCCCACCCTCTGAAGTCGAGCCAACAGCTCCTCCCTGCCGTGCAGCGCAGAAAGGATCTTGGCAGCGAGCTCGGCGGCGTTGCTTTGGGAGTGGCTGCTGCAGTGGCTGCCCAGGTCGCGCAGCAGTGGGTGCTGTTCGTCCAGGCTGCACAGGCTGGAACACAGCGTGTCTGGAGAGGAACCTGTGGTGGGGGAGGGCTCTCTGCTGCCACCTTCCTCCCCGATTCCTCCCCCACGTTCAGAACAGGGCCTTCGCAGATTCAGGTGTTGGCAAAGCTGGCTGTGAATCAGGTCCTTCAAGTACGGTGGATAAGAAGATGTCAAGTCTAAAGAAGGAATGAAACAAACCATGAGACTGAAGTCCTGAAGGAAAAACAAAAACATTTTTGGGATTATTTAAATGCACCCTGTAGAAACTTTTCCAATTAAAAGATATAAACCAGTGAAACAGAAATGCACTGTAATAACCAAACCCAGCAGAGCCTAAGATAGTGAGACAAGAACTTGTCATATTGGTAGATGCTACGTGGTATCCTTAGTTACTGACAGTAAGGCAGCAGACCACAAATGTTTGAGGAAGGAAATAAACTCAGGCAAGAAGTAAGGAACAGTTTCTAAAAGCTGAGTTTAGTCTTTTAGGCTTAATGTTTGATACGGCACGGATGGAGTGTCATTACAGGATTTGTTTATCCTTTCAATTATTTTTGTGTTTTTCGATTGATGACAGCATATAGCAAGCAAATTAGAAATGTGTAAAAAATCAAAACAATGCAAAAAGTATTGCATAATATTTAGCAAACTGGCAGCTGCCTATTGTTGTCAGTAACTAGTGGCTATTTCAGACTTTTCCAGTGGTGTAAACAACAGCATTTTGATGAGCAGAGTACAGTTTTTTTTTCTTCTTGAAACAAAAACTAAAAAAAATCTATAAAATCAAATAGGTGTTTTTTTTTTCATCATAATATAAAGAAACAAAAAAACTAATTTTAAATATCATTCCATTGAATCATCACTTAATTGTGGTGGAGGTGTTTGCATGCCTGAATGATCCTAGGAGCTATGCCACCAGGTGCAATAGAAATTGCCCCTGGTAGGGTCTCCCATGGCAGATTGATCCAAGGTGAAGCTCTGACCCTGGCTCACCAAAGCTGGCACTTGGGGCATGTAACATCATCTCTTGGTGGGGAAGGAGCTTGAGTTTGTGCTTGAGGTTGAGAGGTACCAACAGATGGGCTTACCTCAATGCACAGCAAGGGTTTAGGAACCAATATCCTTTAGAGCGGCTGGACCTTTTTCTAGTCTGGATTTTTCCAGAGTGAGAGGCCCCAAACTGGTGTGGGTCTACTTTTGGCCCCTTGACTTGGTACCTGTCTGTTGGAGTTTTCTCTGTAGATGAGATGGTAGCTTCGCTGTGCCTTTGGGTGGAGGGATGAGCTCTGACGGTGGTTTGTGCATAAGCGCAAAAATGCTGTTCAGAATATCCAGCCTTCCAGCTGGGGACTATTATTTTGTTGGGGACTTCAGTGCTCATGTGGGTAACAACCGTGTGACCTGGAGGGCTGGGTTTAGGAGAGACTGCTTTTCTGATCTGAACCCGAGTGATGTTCTGTTGTTGAACTTTTGTGCTAAACACAGTTTGTTCATCTCTGTAACGATTGGCTTAGGTCAAGGGCGTCAAACTCCAGTCCTCGAGGGCCACTATCCTGCATGTTTTAGAGGTTTTCCTGCTCCATCACACCTGATTTTGATTGTTAGGTGATTAACAGGCTTCTGCCCAATTTGAAGAGTTGATTCAATCACTGTATTAGGTATGTTGGAGCTGGAAAACCTCTAGAACATGCAGGATAGTGGCCCCCAAAGACTGGAGTTTGACACCCCTGGCTTAGATGGTTTGAACCCCGGATGCAGAACTGAATGATTAGGTCAAAAAGAAGGTTGCAAAAGGTTTATTAACCAAACAAAAATGTTGGAATGGCAGCAAAAAGTACTTATAAAACAAAGAAGGCTTGGAACTGAGACTGTGGAGAATATGGAACAAACAACAAAGCTCTGACACAGACTGAGGACACAGGACAGAATATAAAGGACAACTAATGAGCAGAAACAAGAAACACCTGGGAGGGAAACATGAGGAACAGGTGAGAGTGGGCGGGGCTGGAGCAAAGACAGGCAAGAGGTGGTAAACAGAAAGACAGGACAGAAAACAAGAGTAACCAAAATGAAACACCCACACAGACACAAACTGTGACAATCACAAACACCATGTTCGAACATAACGGTGTCCATAAGTGAATGTGGCACCAGGACACCCTAGGTCATTGATCGATGATTGACTTTGTAGTCGTGTCATCTGATCTAAGGCCATATGTTTTGGACACTGATGAAGAGAGGAGCTGAGCTGTCAACTGATCACCCCCTGGTAGTGAGTGGATCAGATGGTGGGGGAAGATGCCAGACAGACTTTGTAGACCCAAACATGATGTGAGGGTTTGCTGGAAATGCCGGGCAGAGGAACCCTTCAGAAAGATCTTCAACTCATGCCTCTGATAGAAATTTAACTGCCTATTTCCCAGCCAAGGCAGGAGATATTGATATCAAGTGGGCCATGCCTCAATTGTGAAGGAAACTGCCTTGAGCTGTGGCCCCACTGTTTTCAGTGCTTCTCACAGTGGCCAATCTTGAACTCAGTGATGAACACCCCCAGGGAAGAGAGGCTGTCAAACTGAAGAAGTCCTATCGAGTCTTGTTGGTTATTGGTTTGTTCAGTATCTTGTCCAGGGACAATTCAACACGTGACTGAATAGTGGTGGAATTGAAATGCCAACTCTCTCATGGGTGAATGACTCCCCTAATCACTAACACTGTGTTTGGTGAAGGTAGGATGCTGTTGACCTCAAACTGTGGTGTCATCGGGAGGTGGAAGGAATACTTCTCAGATCTTCTCAATCTCACCTGCACATCTTCCATAGATGAAGCTGAGTCTGGGGACTTCAGAGTTGGTCTGTTCAAACCTAGAGCTGAGGTTGCTGAGATAGTTAAAAAGATGTGGGGCTGTCTTGGTTGACATGCCTTTGCATGAGGTGACTGGGAAAAGGAGGTTTGGGCCTCCCTGTTCAAGCTGCTGCCCCTGTGACCTGACTCTGGAACAAGCGGTAGATCAGGGGTGTCAAACTCCAGTCCTCGAGGGCCGCTATCCTGCATGTTTTAGAGGTTTTCCAGCTCCAACACACCTGATTCAGTGATTGAATTAACTCTTCAAATTGGGCAGAAGCCTGTTAATTACCCAGCGATCAAAATCTGGTGTGTTGGAGCAAGAAAACCTCTAAAACATGCAGGATAGCGGCCCTCGAGGACWGGAGTTTGACACCCCTGCGGTAGATAATAAATGGATAGATGGACATTTTTAACCAATTTTGTTTTAAATGGTAAATGGACTGTACTTGTATAGTGTCTTTCTTTCTATCCATCCAGGACACTCAAAGCACTTCACACTACAATCTATGCCCTTATTTATCCATTCACACAGCACTCTACCAGATCTCCTACAAAGCTAACATGTACAATCATCTATGGAGACTAATCAGTGCCAATCACATTCATACACTGATGGGACACATCAGAGGCATTAGGGGTGAAGTATCTTGCCCAAGGACACAACAACTGAGACAGCTGCTCCCATAACTGCTCTGCCACAATGTGGGGGGCATAAAATTTTGTATGTTTGTTAGAACTAAAAGATTAAAAAAGCAATTACTTTATTTTAACGAGTCACAGTTAAAGTTTTGATTTTTACAGTAACAAAATAAAGGAAACTTAGTATTTGAATTTCAGAAGCTAAAACATGATGCATCTTTGTTTGAAAAAATAAAACACAAAAATAATCCGCAGATATTCTTTTCAAGCAATAATGTCTAAATGCAAAGTATAGGTGTCTAAAATTGTAAAAAGTATGTGAAAACAAAAGTTGTCATATGCATGTTATTCCAAAATGAACTTACATAAAAGTAAAACACAAAACCTCGGTTTTCTAAAACAAACATTTAAGACAAAACTTTCATGAAAGAATCAACAAAACAAACATGAATTAAATGTGTGCTAAGAATGAAGTACAGAAAAGAAAAATATTTTATTCTGTTAAACTGCTTGATTGATGTGTTATCTGTGTGAATTGAACAAGTGGGTTTTCAAGTGTCACTGATCCAGATCATATATCACAATGAGGTGTTTTGAGTTGTGTAAATGATTGTTCACTACATGGCTTCTGCTATAGCGTAAGAAGCTACTGGTGCATATTAGAATAATGTTAGGTGTACAGGTTACTGGAGGGTGCATGTAATCAAGATGAAAACTAAAGGACACACAGCCTTGTGCATTTATAACCACACTAACACACCTCCTTCACACAAACACCGTCTCTGCAGCAAAGGAAATTATATTAAAGTTGCAGGAGGGATATCAAATTGCACAGAGGAACAAAAAATGTCAGTGGATGATGAAAACTAGGGCACTGGGACGAAGGAAGACAAAAACTGGGGAAGAATAGAGAGATGGATAAGGAAGGAGTTGTGTAATCGCATATAAATCAATACATGGAATTTAGCTGTCTCCCTTCCGCTCTCTCTCTCTCTCTCTCTCTCTTTCTTTGTGCTGTGTTTGTTTGTGTGTATGTATGTGTATGTGTATGTGTATGTGTATGTGTATGTGTATGTGTGTTCACCTGTGCTCTGTGTGCTGGGCTCAGTGGCAGGCAGAAAATCTTCATCATATGAGTCATCGTTGGACTCTTCTCCGTCCACAGAGGACCAGGCCCTCAGCTTAGCCTCTGCTATGGCAAATTGCTCTGCCACACCTGCAGAAACACACACATAAACGTACACATACATGAGCTGCACACGCACTGAAGCAATTATATAGTTACCATGGTAACAAGGAGGCAGCATTGTGGCTTCATGTTGTGTAGCTGTTTTCTTTTTCTTTCTTTTTTTTTGTAGCTGTTTTCTGATTGACAGGTTTGTGTGGAGAACAGTGCACAGTATGGACACATACAGCATTCCCATTACATCCGCTGTTCCTCTGCCATCATGCAGCTGGTGCACTTAAAATGGACATCAGCTGGTGTTTGATTGTGTTGATACGCTGCATTCTTGCCAGGGGACAAGAGACAGTGAGGTGAAATAGGCTTATCTGTGTCTCTCAAAAGGCTGAAAGATAAAAAAAAAATCCCAGCAAAGTAAACAGCTTTTACCCATCCATCCATTATCTTTTACCCACTTCTTCCTTTCAGGGTCACTGTTGCCCACATCCAGCAGTCAGTGCGAGGGGCAGGGTACACCCTGGACAGGTTGCAAGTCCATCACAGGGACACGTAGAGACAAACAACCATTCACTCTCTCACTCACACCTAGGGACTATTTAGAGTTACCAATTAGCCTAACATTTATGTTTTTGGTTTGTGGAAGGAAACCAGAGTTCCTGGAGAACCCACGCATGCACAGAGAAAATGGAAACTCTAACCAGGATTCATTCTGTGGCTTTCTTTCTGGGAGGCAACATCGCTACCAACTGAACCACCATGGCCCCCCGCGGCATTTAGATTTAATCAAAATTTAAGAGGGACTTCTATAAACCACTTTGAAGAACATACAGTATGTTAAAGTCAATGCCAGCATGTAGTGGACTGATGGAATAAGCAGGGATAGAAAACACTAAGTGCAGCTTACTTCAACAATACATTTCTATTGCATCTTGAAAACGGTTTGGACAATGTTTGACGGGATTAAAAAAGGTGAGATCATCTCTTTGGGGAAAATGTGTAATGTTTTCTTTTTGTCATTTTACACCACTGACAAGATCCATGGGCGCCATCATCGCTGTTTACTTTTTTAAGTCAACCTTAAATGTTTGGATGAGCAGGAAGAGTTTGTTTGCAAAAATGTACTGTTCAAAAAATTAAAGGAACACTTTTTAAGTAGAGTATATTATCAAACCAGGTAAACCTCTGGGATATTGTTATGGTCAATTCATTAGCAGAGTGAGTCGTTAATCAGTCACCTGTTTTGGTGTTAATGAAATTCACAACAGGTGCACTAAAGGGGCAACAATGAGACAACCCCCAAAACAGAAATGGTTTTGCAGCCGGAGGCCACAGAAAATTTTTACTCCCATCTTTTTTTGACTTGTTTTTAGTTGTTTTGCATTTAATTAGGATCAGTGTCACTACTGAAGTGAAGTGAAGCTTGAAGTGATACCTGGACCCTTCAGAGGTTCTACAGGCAATCCAAATCCACCTAGATGGCACATCAATTTGTGCCATTGCCATAAGGTTTGCGGTTTCAAGAACATGGAGGGGATTCTAGTTACTCTAGGAGAGCTGGACAGGGTCATCTGAGGTCCTTAACCCTTCAACTGGACTTTCTACTCCTTGGTGCAAAGAACAGGAGGAGTACTGCCAGAGCCCTCCAAAGTGATCTCCAGCAAGCCAAGTGTGTCTCCTCCAAGTGTGAATGTCTCTGACCAAACCATTAGAAACAGGCTTCTTGAGGGTGTCCTGAAGACCCTGTATCCTCTAATGTGCCCTGTGCTCACTGCCAGGCACTGGGGAGTTTGACTGACATTTGCCCGAGAACACCAAGATTAGTAGATTCTCCACTGGTGAGAATACCCTAATTTGGCAGTGGGTCAAAGATAATAAGGCAGATTTGTTAGAGGGGTCATCATTATAATTTTAACTGGTTTGCCAGTTAAAATTATATGGGGCGCCATGTAGGACATAAACTGTCTTTTCTCTCTCACACACCCTATTTTATTCTTCCCAGTTTTTATGTCTTTGGGCAAAACACTTCACCTGCCAAGCCTACTGATGGTGGTCAGAGGGTCCAGTGGCGCTTGGTGCATGGCAGCCCCACCTCTGTCAGTGTACCCCAGGGCAGCTGTGGCTACAGTGTAGTTAGCCATAATCAGTGTGTGAATGTGAGTGTGAATGGGTGAATGTCTGTAAGTGTAAAGAGCTTTGGGGTCCAGAGGGACTTGATAAAGCGCTCTATGAGTTCAGTCCATTTACCATTACTTTGGTTAATTCTGCGATTCCGTCTGAGTTTCCTTAGCAACTTATAAACGGAAGAGGAGCAGGAGAAGGTAGATTCTGATTGGCTGTTGTCGCTCACATTTCCGATCTGAATTTTTTTATTGATCAATAATTGTGATCAAATAATCGCCCAGCCCTAATCACAGGGCATTTCCACAAGCACATTCAGTTCTCCAGATATTTCCAGTGCACAGCGATGCTTGTCTCACACATTTACACCTGCTTTATGTACCAGCACACACTGGCTTTGACACACTGTAACATTGTCACAGGGATGCAAAGAGAAATTTGATCAGATCAAATAGTCAGCAAAACTTCTTCATCCCGATGAAGAAAGTGCAAACTTGTGATAAAGTATGTTACATTATGTGATGATGTGAGGAGGATCTGTGCATTTTACAACCAAAAAACTCTTTAGCTTATAACATACACTAAGCAGCCAAGTTCACATAAATATAACCATTTAAAGATATAAAAGAGGCAACCTTACTTAATAAATGTTTGACTCAGAACATATTAGGAGCCTTGCTTTTGATAAATCAGTTTTTTAATTGTTATTCATTAAATCAAAAGTCGAGCAGAGATGTCCTGTAGATGGTTGTGAATAAAGAGTAAAATAAATAAATAAATAAATAACAATGAAACAAACCAGAAGTGGCATAGAGGAGAATTTCTTAGTCATGATGCCACTAGCCAGGGGCAAACCCTTACAGTGCAAATTAACCTTGAGAGTCTGCATTGCAGGGAGTGAATGAGAGAATAGAAAGAGAGCAGGCAGAGAGTGAAAACCTGTAAGAAACCTGTCAGATACAGAGGGCAAAGAGGAACATAAAAAAGAGGATGATAGGAGTAGAGGAAAGGAGAGGTAATGAACAAAAAGGAATGAAGTGAATAAAAGAGAATCCAGCGATGAGGTGAGTCAGACACAGAGGACACAGATGAGGTGTAAGTGAAGTCTCTCTGACATGAACACATCTCAAACTCCGTAAGGCCAGTGCAGTAGAGCCTGTCTCATCAAAAACCTTAAAACATTTCCAAATTATAATGATATCAAACCAATCGCTATAAATTGTTGAATGTAGGTAGATCTTTACTTAATTTAAAATATTACCTTGCTCATTTTTCTAATCTTCACCACTTCAAGTGTTTTGTATCAACTTAACGTGCATTAAAACCATTTGTATCCTTTAATTTCCATTCCTTACTAGGCCATTCAGGTCACACACACGTATATATAT